CCCACCCCACTCCCAACTCCATCTGCAACTTCAACCCTAACCCCAACAGCTGTCAAGTTGTCCAATTCATAGTGACCCTAAAGGAAAAAATAGGACTGCCCCATCGGGTCTACAAGGTTGTAAATCTTTTTGGAGGTGAAGTGCTACAATTTCTCCTGCAGAAGCTGGTGAGTTCAAACCCCTAGTCTTTTGGTTCACAGCCAAGCTCTTTAAACACTTCCTACAGAAAGCTTCTACACATCATTATATTGACATGATAAATCCAATGATTTCTAAATCTAGTTTGTGGGACACAGAAGAATTTCTCTCAAGCTGTCTCCCCCAAATATATGTCAAACTTAGCTGCTTGAGAATGACTATACACTTGGAGGTCATCAGTAGATTAGGGGTCATTCTCCCTAAGAGCAATCAGCCATCTAGACCAAGCAGACACCACTGTTTATCCCACAAGTAGGGCCCACTCCCTTCTGATAAGGATAGTAGTCTGTTTCCTTGTAGGAGACACCAGAGAGGTCAAACCCGCCCAAGGATGACCAAGGTTAGGCTGCCATCATGAATCTAGGGTCCGCCCATCTTGTCACATGTATACCCCTAGACCTTCCCATTCCTGTGGGCACACCCCTAGCTCATCCCCTTCCTGTCACGCTTATGCCTATCATAGATCCCCTTCCTACAATGTGTATGCTTATTGTACAACCCCTTCCTGTGGCATATGTCTTCACCTGTAATTAGGGGGCTTGCACATCCCCAGAGAGGATAAAAACTTGGTAAGCATTAAAGTCTCTCTCTCTCCATGTGGACCAACAAGCAGGGCTGAGGTGAGCAATGCTACCATGAATTGTGTCTGATTCCATTTATTCTAATCTCTCCTTTAACTCTCATCCTATGACTTTACTATAATCTTTACTTCTTATCGCTGTACAATTGCGCCTACCAGACCTGTGATGATTTGTGGGGAACCCCTCTCCCCTTAACCCCACACTAGTTCCTAACAGTCATTTTGAGAGGCTCGTAAAAGTATAAATCTCATCAACATTTACGTCATCTGACTGTTGATGTGCATAGTGCTTTAGAAACATAATAAACTGAGTAAGAAGAAAATTCATATTTCTAAATATATTTGATAACTGTCACCCATTATACTTATTATTATTATTGGTGAAGTGACTTTCAGTAAGGAACTTTCCCACAATTCAGAGGGCGTGGGAAGTAAAAGTTTTAGCGTAAAAATAAATCAGGTGCTGAGAAGCTGCTCCCTCCCAATGACAATGTAGAAGTTAGTTCTAAAAATTAAAAACCTTCAAGAAAACCCCATGCCCCATACACTGAGTCCATTCCAACCCACAGTGACCCGACATAGGATTTCTTAGGCTGTAAATCTTCACATGAGCAGACCACCTCATCTTTCTACCATGAGGTGGCTGGTGGGTTTGAATTGCTGACCTTGTGGTTAGCTGTCCAACACTTACCAGGAATTGAAAAAGGCACCAGGGCAAGAACAATGTCAGTCAAATTCTTCACACAACACAGGGCAGTGTTCAGATTTGTTTCAGCTCTGAAACTCGTATGTACTGGGGTTTTGAGGAAGGGGTCCTGGTAGCCTAGTGGCTACATTGAATTACTAATACAAACTCAAAGGTGAGTGGTTCAAATCCATTAGTTAGTTCCCAGGAGAAAGAAGAGGCCGTCTGCACCCATAGAGATTTAAAGTTTTGGAAACCCACTGGGTCGGTTCTACAGTCTTACAAGGGTCACTATGAGTCGGAATCGGTTTGATGGCAGTGAGGCTAGCTTTTCTTTGAGGGGCTGTGGGGAAGAGCCCTGATAATGTAGTAGTAGGTTTAGTGCCCTGTAATGATTTATTGTCTCGGAAATCCTCTTTGGCAGTTCAATGGACTGCAGGGCAGTGGGGTGGGTACACAGCCACCAAAACCTGTAATTAGCAGAAGGTCAAACATACATTCTATCTGGCCTCATCTCAGTGGCACAGTAGAGAAAAACAGAGACCACTGTGGTCACACACGCAGCCAGCAAATGTGATTTGAGTAACAGTTCTGTGGCTGGATGGATGAGATGTGTACAATGTCTACACTGTACACAGAGGGGCACACCAGGGGAGTCAAAGAGTCAGTGGGAAAACCCAGTATCTTTGAACCCTGTTTTCCCACAAACTTTTGGAAGTCCCTCATAGAGAGGAACTACAAAATTACCACTTAGCTGATTTTCACTGAACTCCAAAAGCCCAAATCTCCACATAGATGACAGTGGCACTGCTGACCACAAGTACATGCTCAGTAAGGAGTGCCACCCTGGGACTAGCAATAACCGCAGGCAGCAAGGGCTGGGAATGGAATGCCAGACATGGGCTCAAAATGCCCCACTACACACTCTAAGCAAAGTTTGGTTTTCAAGAGGAAAAATGAAAACGGCCTATATCTTAAAAGGAGCCCCAGTGGCACCCTGGATTACGTCTTGGGGGGCTAATCGCAAGGTCAGTAGTTCAAGCACATCACCTGTTCTGCATGAGAATGGCAAAGCCTGTGGAGAGCTACAGTCTCTGAAATCCGAAGGGACAGCTCTACCCTACCCTACAGGGTCAATATAGGTCAGAATCAACTACCGTCTATACTCAAGTATAAGTCGACCCGAATATCAGCCAAGGCACCTAATTTTACCACAAAAACAGCATAAAAAAGTGCTGAAAAACTCAGTTTATACACTAGTACATATGGTAAATGGCAGTAGGTTTCTTTTTTTTAAAATGGTATCTTAACTTTATTAAAATAAAGGCTGTAATACACTGCCTCCAAGAAGACAAAGGAAATAACCTTTCTGTGTGTAAAGAAAATCCAAACCAAACTCACTGCCATGGAGTCAGTGCTGACGCAGTGACCCCCTGTGGGTTTCCGAGACTGCAACAGTGTATGGGAGTAGAAAGCCCCGCCTCTCTCCCTCAGAGCTTCTGGTGGTTTCCAACTGCCCATTACGCAACTGCAGCCTAATGCTTAACTGCCACACCACCAGGGCTCCTCCTGGCAAAGAAAGGTTATCTCTTAGTAGTTAAGACAGCCACGTATAGTACTTTTACAAAGGGTAACAATCAATGGGATATAAGATGTGGCGTAGATGGATATTCACAGAGATCCCGAAGGTTGTGCCTGAGACAAAATACACTTACAGCTTTCTTTTATCTTTATAGAAGCATGGTGTGGGTGGTGTTGCTATGCCACCGAGTCCAGTCCATTTCACAGCAACCAATCCCATGTGAAAGCAGAACTGCCCCACAGGTTTTCTAACAGATCTCTCTGTCCCTTGGGGTTGGTGGATGTTTGAACTGCCAACCTTTTGATTATTAGCATAATCTGCTGGTCTCCTTAGACAAAAGCACAGATGGTCTTAAAGTTGGGCCACTTTTTTCCACATGCTGGGTTAAGAATCTCTTGGGACGTGTGTCTATGTGCAGCCTGTGGGTGCTTGAGTGTATTATAAGCACACAGAGAACGTTTTATGCAAATAAGACTGCTAGATGTTGCTCGGCCCTGTGCAGTTTGTAAATGATAGGGCTCTGGTGAGTCCAGAGCTGTGCACACTAGGAAGAACTGTAGGTTGTTTTATAAATAACTAAACTAAATAATCTGGTGATGTGGAAGTTCAAAAGGTAATCTACTGTATATTGTGTTTCAGGCAATCAGCTATCCTGCAAAACCTGAAATTGCTACAGCATTAACGGCAGCCTTGCACTCAACCTAGAGCTGACCTGGAGACCTGCCTATTTAATAGTCTTGGCCAGGCCAGGTACTACATGCTATGGTGCACACGCCTGCAGCAGATGAAAATATCCACAGGCGTAACAGAAACATGTCACATTTTGTTAACAAGCTTTT